ATATTTTCCATTTGTTTCATAGTTATTTACATTAGCCTCCAGAATACTAATTTGCATCAAGAATGGAATATGATTGAATACTGAGTATGAATCTCTTAAGTAAAGACATACTTAGAAGAGTCTTTTGTATTTTATTAAGCTTTACCTTTTGATACATAAATGGAATAAAATATTCTATTTGCTGGTAAATAGAAATAAGCCACAGAAACATAAACACACCTAAGCTGACAAAAGACATTCTAATTATAATAGAAACAATTAGAGAGCTGAACTGAACTGCCAGTGCAACTTGCTTCTAATGAAATGATACCCTTTCCCAACAAATGATGTTTCTGGCACCTTACCATTTCTTGTTTTAATTGTACTAGATCAGTTGTCCTACTGGCTGTGTAAAAGCTCCAGAGGAAGAACCTTCCTAAGTATAGATTTGTTTTTCAAGAATCTAGGCTCACCTCCTCTCGTGCTGACACCCCCCCCCACACTCAGAGACTGAGGGGAACTGGGCATAGGTGATCCTGTATGAACCAGGAGTCCCCTGCAGAAGCAGGCAGTGCAGCACTTCAGACAGACAGCATGAAGGCTTGAGAGGGGCGGAGGGGCGAGAAGCCGCGTGGGTAGACGCAGAAGCTTCATTAAGTGTTCCCTTTATTCCCGCAAGAAGAGGGCTGCAACTCTGCCCAACGACAGGTGCTCTGTTTGACCACGCAATACCCACAACCTCAGCCTGTCCGCCGGTGCAGGCTGCAACAGAGCTGCACGAAGACACCAGGACACACAGCTGCGGTAGCTAAAGGGACCTGTCAGTGTGTCCACTCATCTAAGCAACCCCTAAAAACCAGCGAGCGTTTCTTCTCCTGGCTGCGGTACACAGTCACGGTAGGTGTTTACCGTAGCCACCACTGGTGAACCAGTGGCCTAATAGTTAAGGACTGTCTTCTGGAGAGAAACGGCTTCTAAAATATCAGATTCAGATGTTAACCTACCTTTCTCCCTTAGCAAAATCATAACTTTATGCATTATAAAGGGGTTTTGTTTTGTTTCTTTTGCTTAGGTAATGCAAAAAAAACCCAAAACATAAAAGAGAACTGCGAAAGCCTGCTGCTCATTAAAAACTCAGAAAGATACTTTGGAGAGCTGCTTGTGCTCCTGAAACAGCCATACAAACACCATCACGAGGAGATGCCTGCATTTCCAGCCGCTTTGCCTTTTGGCCATGACATACACACATGTAGAAATATCACTCACCCAAATACTTGACTGAGATACCCGAGTTTTCTCTGTCCAAAAACTTTAAAAATCAAAACCCCCAAGATACCTCATCAGGATAATTCAGTCTTACAAAACCAAAAACACCTTATTTGTTGTTTGTTTGTTTCATTTGGGGTTTTTTTGTGGCATAAAGGCAATTTATAGACTGTTTGTTTAGGGTGTAGAGATATTAAGAGCTCCTCAACCAACATACTTCTGAAACAGACAATTGATCTGCAATACGGATCAATCGGTGAATGAAAATCACAAAGCAGACGAGACGGAAGGCTGCTGAACGTTACGCTCCGTGCAGCATCCTTAGCACTGTCGCTTGCCACCGCCAACCGCTCAGTGACAGAAGCCAGAATTTCTAGCAGAAACACACAACTCAAGCACCACTAAACCAACCCCAAACACACCCATCCAGCACCACAACAGACCTCGATGTTTCAAGGTGTAGGTCCTGTCAAAGTAGCCCCTAACACCTGCTTGCTTGGACAAGGAGCGTGTTAAAAACATTCAGTGACACGCTGTAGTGCTTATTCTCCAAAGAGCTGAAAATGACAAAGCCACCCAAAAATGGGATTTTGTGCAGGAAGCAAAAGCTACAAGCGCCCGAGTCGCACATCACCTGTACTAGGTGTCCCGCTCTGCCCTGTGCAGCGGTCAGTGGGCTTGCAGGGCCTGCCCTGCCTGGCACCACAGGGAAAGGTCCCCAGGACACCTACGGCCGTGTGTCTTCCCATGCTCTAAGTAAGTTTTGGTCAGGTTTTAAGACAAAAAGCAGGAGGAAAGCAAGCAATCGTAAGACATTCACAAAGGATGTTCTCTGAAGCATTGTATGTCTATTGTAATTAACCTCACTTTCTCCCAAAACAGAGAGCACTGTTCAGTACTACATACTATTCATTCCAATCTTTTCCTTGGCTTGAAAATCATCCCCTCTTTTCCTCACTCATTAAACCTGGGTTGCCCGTGTTGCTATTGCAACTTGTTGAGTGCAGTTGTATTGGCTCAGAGTCCATGATGACAGTTCCCTGCCTTTGGTTGATCTGAGGGTCAATATTACACCCTGAGTAAACCAAAAAGCATGCAAAGTCAAACCGGAGAAAAAGCTGTGGGCACGCCCTTCCACCACTCTGGGGTCCTCATAGTCTATTAAGAACACTTTGTTTAAATCTTCATTGCATTGCCCTAGGATATCTTGCCAAAATCCTTTTCCCCATCAAGGAGAGCTTTCCCACAATGTCTTAGTATTACAGCACCCACTGTTGAAACAATTCCGTAGTAAGCACCCCTCTCAAACAATGCCTGATAGCCACTCGCCAGAATGAGGTACCACGCTTCGAAATCTCATACTGTTAGGTAATTGCTGCTGAATTTTTGAGAACAATCAGCTGAGGTGCTATACATTCAAAGGCATTTAAAGATATTCTACTGGTATTTTTTGTAGCCTAACGACTGCAGATACACCACTGTATTTGGAAAAACTAGAAACTACCTCGCTATAGGGTGAGCGATAATGAGTTAAAATTAAAGGTTGCTGCTGGCTTGCTAGCCCATCCCCCTTTAGCTAATCTGTCATGTAATGAAGAGAAGCACCTAGCATAGGACAGCTAGCTGCCGGCTCACTTACAGCGAGCTGATTAAGAATGTTCAACCAACAGCAGACTGCAGACCTTTCCAACGAAAATAAATAGACTGTATGCAAATGTGTTTGTCACTTTGACAGCATGTCTCAATTAAAGCATCTCGCTGCTGTTGGTAGGCTCTCTCACTGCAGTGGTATGGACGAGGCTTACTGCATTACTGATACACGGGGCTTGACCCTAATCCGCATGCATGCATTTTAAAAAAGTCTGCCTTTGCCATATACACTAGCATAATACCAGCAGACATAGAAAGCAAGTGACAATGAGAAAAAAGCCTCTTTCATCCTCTTCAGTTTATAAGAACTGTGAATGCACAAACAGCCCTTATTTCAGAGTTCTTGTGGCTTTTTAATTGTTCCCACCTACTGTATTCCAGACAGAGTTAAAAGTGACACTAAAATCTCTCCCTTTAATCACTAGTTAGAAGCCATCTCCCATTTAAACAGTAAATGTTGCGGCTTTTTTCCTCCCCAAAGCCTTAATTTATATTTCATAAACCTGAACATCATTTTCTTTTGAATGAAAATATGATTTAATTTTCATTTTGGCATTGGGCTATCAGGAAAAAAAGCCCCGTGAAAGGACAAAGGCTGTAAGTGAGATAGCCCTACAACTGCTAAGTTAGATCATTTTTTGGGAACTGACATTTGTAATGTAATGACAGTAATAAGCATTTAGCCAGCGAGCCTTTCACCACAGCCAGTGGTTCAGCAAAGCTGATGTGTGTTTCTTTTGACACAGGGAAAGTGATCATTAAAAAATTTGAAAGTGACCATTAAAAACCTTCCTGAATTTAAATTTGCACTTTTCACTCGATTATATATTTAATTAATCTACCAAAATGTTTGAACCATCCATCCTTCACAAAAATCTAAAGGAAAAAACTGAAAGTAGATTATAATCTTATCTGGATTCCTGACTGCTTTAAATGAAATGTAACGTTTTCCTGCTAGAGCTAGATGGCTACATTTCTCCAGTAGCCTCAATTCCTCTCAACTGTATTGGCACAGAAAGTAAGTGAAAAATAAATCATTACTGCAAATATTTAATTGGAAGAGAATCTGGTTAAAAAAAAAGTCTCCAAGAACTTACATTCTGCAGAGTGGTGAAAGTTCTGAAAGAAACAAATCTAATGCTAAAATGATACAGACAACATTGCTCTGAGCGATGATTATCTCTCGTGTAGCCCTAATACCTAAACACTCAATGTAGCCATACTGACTAGTTTCTATTAATAGATACTCATCTAAAACTCTGGTTTGCTTCACATTTTATAATTGCCAATATTTTACAATTGTTAAAAATTACACTATGTTTCCTAAGAATAAATCAGATATTCGCTCCTGCCTTCTGATCATAATACTATAAAAAATAGAAAGAAAGAAAAGAGAACTGTGCACAGAATTAACGTTATGTTTTGGAGTCAGGCTACACTTAATAGGGGAACACTGGCAAACTGATAGTAAACACTGTATATTTTTCCAGAAAAATCACAGCAACTACGTTTTCTAAATAACTAGCTCTTAAAAATCCACACAACAAAACACACTATTTTGTGGACATATCAAAAGAAACATCGTAAGAGTAACTAATGTGCACTACTCAGTTGTCAATACTGAAATACAGAGTACACTAATAAGCTATTAATTGATTTTTCCCTCTTAGTTCATCGCATTTAATTTTCAGAGAATGTTAAAATGCTTTAATAGTTGGATATGCCATATTGACACTAATGATCTGGCTAACAGATAACAGAGGACATTTTAAATTATACATCCTCAGTCCTGAGGGCTATAGCCCTGTGGATGCTGAAAACCAGCAAAATCATTTATAAAAGTGCTACAATAATTATGCTTCCCCCTCCATTCACACAGAATTTGTTTTCCTCAAAATCATTGTGTGAACAAAAGGAATCACTAAACTCCAGACAAATCAGGTTTTAAAATCCCATTTACACAGATAAAACAGAAATAATTCTAACATAACATAATCCAGTTACGAGAAAATAAGGAAACAATTGGTGTATTCGTGATTGTGACTTTTCTCTGAACTAATTTTGCTGAGTCACACAGTTAAAAGAAACCTAACACTAAGACATACCTGACCAAAATGTACTGTGATTGGTCTTCTGTCCTCTCTTAATTTAGGGTCCTTCTTGTCAACCAATGGAGATGGCGTTGTCCTCGGTAGAGTTTCCTCCGGTGCTGCAGAACACCCATTCTCAGCAATGTCCTGTGTGGTAGGAAAAGGTGAATAGCATGGCCGGGAACACTCTTGATTAAGGGTCAGGGGCACAAAGGAGACACTGGAGGATAAAGCTGACTAACAGTTTTGATGTTGGGGGAAAAAAACCAAAGTACAGAAGAGAAAACATCATTAGAATCAAACATTTCGTTGCACTTTGTCCATCAGAGCTGGCACACCACCACGCTCTCCTCCTAATACCGATGTTGCATGCAGACACATTCAATACAATGTCTGACTTAAACATGCAAAAGCCAGAAAATACATAGGGAGAAAAACCCCCATAGCTGAAAATTTCTATTCTAGGAACAAATTCATCAGAAACCTAGGAATGGGGTGATTCTGCTTTTTGCAAACCTGAATGAAAACAGTAATTCTATTTACATACTTCACAGATTTATCTGTAGCAGAACAGTTACTTGTGGAAGTGGCAAGGAGAGATGAAACTCACAGCTTAGTTAGCTTTGTGCTTTCTCTCTGAGCTTGTGTTTACTGAATATACCTTCAGGAGTCTGTATAAAACAAACTGCTGCCTAGCAGGATGCTTTTTTGTTTTGCTTTGCTTTTGCTTTTGACATTAGTCCTCATCTTCAGAAGTAAAGTGACCCATCAACCCAGGTTAGAAGACTTGGCAAGTGTGCATATGGTATATGTAACATAGGTTTTCAAAAAGACAAAGGCATGCAGACATAAGGAACCAGACAAGGAGAAAAAGAGTTTGAAAGTCAGTTGAGAAATAGTCTTGTAACGCAGTGGGCCCCAAACCTTACATCTCTTCGCAACAATGTCAAGGAAATAATGCTTGGTAAATATAGAGAGAAACCTGCACACGCTGTAGCTCTGCAAGACTGACCTAAGGTTGGCTGCTGACATAGACATTGCTTTGATTCACTGACCTTTGACATGCCCCCTCGAGCTTCCGTCTTGCTAAGGTACAATAATGAGACATGTAAGCTGATGGCCAATTAGAAATGGTTCTTTTGGACACAGACTGACCTAATGTGTTTAGGTCAAATGAAACAAAAAGCTGGATGGACTTTCTAAGGGGCTTTGTCTGCTCCACAGAGAAGCTGAGAGACCTTTTTAGATCCAGCTGGTAGAGCAGTGGTTCCCCAATATGGGCATACGGATCGCGGGGAAATTAACTTGTTAGGCTCAAACTGGAGAGAAAAACTTTTTCCTCCCCTCGCCCTCCAGCTGCACAATGCCACCTTGACTTTAAAAAAATTCGACAAAGCACCCTGAATTAGTAACAAAGAGCCCCAAAAGAACTCAAGACGAGAAATGTAAGCTTCTGTCAAACTCATCCTTCGGCTCCAACACAGCAACAAGGTACCAAGGGATCTGGTCAGTTTGGGAATCATGTAACATATGGCAGCAATGTAGATGGTTCTGCAATGCAATGACAAGCTTCAGACCTGTTATGTACATGCCATAAAGGTGCCTGTTCAAAGCCACCCCACCTGCAGTGAACAGGGCGTTCCCAGCGCTGCGGAGCCTTCCCAGTTCCAGCTGGAGCTATGGCTCCAAGCAAGGCAACAGACAGCTGCGAAGCAATGGGAAGCAAAACGTCTTCCAATCCAGGCAAAATTTCCAGAAAAACGTAAAATGGATGCAGAAGCATGGCTATCAGGGGAATGGGAGGAGATAGATACAGAGCAAATCTTTGCAGCTTTCACTGCTGCAGATTTGCTTACCCCTCTAATGATGTAAGTGCATACAAAAGATAACATGTTCCTAAAGTGTATTTCCACTGCTTCTGGAGTACTTCCTAAAGTGTATTTCCACTGCTTCCAAAGAACTGCAGCAGATTTCAGTCAAAATTATTATTATTTTTTTTAAATTTACTTAATAAAATACGAGAATTAAATTATTTAATACTTCTCTATTTTTTCAACATCCCCAATAGGCAGAGAAATCAACAACACAGCTTCAGTCATCAAAGCAAAATTTGCTTCACAAAAGTTTGTTTTCTACCCTCAGTGAAAACACATTTGAGCTAAAGAAACAGAGAAACCTGATTTTAAACACCTCAAAAAACCCAGCAAGTAGCTTTAAAATGATTAAACGACAAAGTCTTTGGCAATCCTGTAACTGGAAAGAGGACAACAGTCCTTCAAAGCAGACTGCAACACACCTTCAGTCCACTAAAAGACTTCGAATAGTTGATTCGGAAGTCAAATGGGAGCACTAGACAGACATAAAACCACAAATAAGACAACAGGACTCACTGATTCTGAACTTCAGCTCCAGAAAGGGGTCATGGCCCACAGAACATCTACTATCAAAGCAGTTCTTCAGCTTGGGAACGACCAATGACCAGAGAACTGCAGTGGCTCCTGGTGCAGGCAGGCCTTAAAAAAGCAGTGCCCGTTCCTGGTGCTAAAAGCAGAGCCAGGCAGACCTGTGCATCCCAACTGAGGGAGAGGATTTACCAGCCGGAATGCTGCCTGGTACTTCCACACTGCTTCTGAGAGCAGTGCTGGTGCTTCCACCCGTGTTGGTGTACCAGCTTGGTTGGTGCTCACGTGCATCTTCGCTCTGCAGTGCATCGCACCGTGGAGAGGACCGCAGCGTGACTTGTCAGTTCCAACGCATCCCCGAGAAAGGGATTTGGTGTAAGCCGGCAAGACATTCCAGAAGTAGCTAAGTCGTATATGTTATTCAGGATAACAACAAAAAATGTGAGACCTATCACCTCCCAACCAAAAAATGGAAAGAGATGGAAGGTGATGAGTTACTCATTACTGGAATAAATTCTCCAGAAATGCAAAAACCTAGGAATGTTTCAGTGACTTCTTAATGAAAAGAAATTGTAATTTAAACATGTTATTAAAACCCAAACCACCCTTTTCCTGAGGAAAAAAGATACTTTATAGATTACTGGAAAGACAGAATGACATTGATCTATCACACTCCATAATTATCTCTGTATATAAACAGTGCTCCCCCTAACAACCGCCTGCTCAGGTGAAATCTTTTCTGCCTAGGAGGAACTTCAGCAAATGAGCAAGATATATATTTACAGATATGTAAGGTTTACCCTGCGAACGGCATGAGGTTTTCTTCTGTTTAAATAAGCATTCGTCATTTTTCTAGGGACCTTTTGTAATGGATTACAACTCCTGTCTATTGGAAGAGCAAAAAGCACATTCCAGAATGTCTAGAAGGATTCTTCAGGTTATTTTATAAACCGCCAAATGAGATGTTTCTAGCTGTACTGGTGATAAAGCACTGACAACAGTCCGTTGATACCTAGAGCCACACAGGGCTCTAGTAAGTAAAATAATGTTGAATACATTAACGCCAAGTGCCCAACCATTTATACAAATTGTCTTTTCCAGAAGCTTTCAGCAAGTTACATTCTCCTTACTGAAAGTTGAGGACGGTACCATTCATATTCCTCCTTCTTCCTAATTCTATGTAGTTAAGCTTCAAACGAGCCAATAACAGAGTGCCTTGACCACCACGGTCCATTTGTGAAATGGAAAAAGCAGCCTTTACGAAAAAAAAAAAAGAAAAAGAAAAGAAAGAAAAAAGAGTGCCACATCAGATATAAAATAAAGCTACCATGCTGTATCTATTAACAATTATTTGCTATCACTCATAAGAATCCTCTGAAAACTATTTCTGTTGCTTTGAAATACTGTACCACAAATGAACAAGGGATGGAAATAGAGCCCCATTCAATCTCTACTATCATATTAAAGAAGGACCTTACACACACCACAGTGACCTCTCAACAGGTCAATCCTGCATTTCCCATTTGCAATTCAAACCCAAGACTGGAGCAGACCAGGGGCAAAATGGGCTCTTGATTATATTTAAGAGGTCACCATTGCTATGCAGAGTTGTAGGAAGCAGACCTCTAGCTTTATTGCATTTTAAAATTCTACCTTGTAGAGAAGCTGCTCATATTTGGCAGCGAAAACTGGAAAAGGGATGTTTATATTTGACTTTTCCTTACCAGCGGCCTGCATACTTTCTGTATTAATAATGGAAAATAATATGTTAAGAGACGGTGGATAGTAAGTTCAGTTTAAAAATAACCTTAGTTTATCCTTAGAAGATGAAAGACTAGCATCCAAAATTTGGCAAAAAATTAAGTATTCAATGCCGCCGGAGTTTCAGTTAATACTTGCACATACTAGTAAGTATGACAAATACAGTGTTCTCACATGAAAACTGGTAAGGATGCACTAATCGACCTGTTAACAGAACAGCACAGATACTTAGATTAAAAATAATATGAGTGGCTAAGCAATTTTTGCTATTTTTATCACTTTAAACAGAGCAATACCTCTTTTTAGAGTTATCTTCCTACCTCGCATTCAAAATGGAGAAGAGGATGGGATAAAAAAGAACAGACTAACGAAGAAAGGAGAGGAAAAGCAGTATGTGTCAACTACTCATAGAAATCTTCTAAGCTCTTGTGAAAGCGTATGTTGAACAATCACGTTTAACCATCCTACAGAAATGCCACATAATAAGGAAAGCGAAACAAAATTGGGCCATTTATTTGTAAATGCAATGTGTGTTTTTTAAAAAGAATGCTTGCTGCTTTCAGGACTAGGAAGACAATAATAATAATAGAACAAAGCCTGAATGAACGAGACGTTTCTCAGCCTTTTATACAAATGTCACAGAATAGCATAGACTTATACTAGCATTTACAATACAGGAAAACAATCTGGTCATTTTGCAGAGCTCCAACCGCTTTAGAAATGCACATGAGAAGGCCAAATATTTTATTATTCATGAAGGTTATGTCCAGAAGTGAAGCACATGGAATTACATAAAAAATTCCATGTTCAAAAACTGCTTCTTGTTTCTAGTATTTTCATATTATACTCTTTATATATGACTACTTTAGGTAAGTGTAATAAAATAAAACAGCATTAAAATCATCTGAAACAAGTTTGTCTACCTCAAATCTCTAGCAATCTGCTAGAGTATTTAGAGAGTGAACAGCATTCCGATTGTACACACAGGGAATTTCATCAGTTCATAACCTGGCTGCAGAATAATCCCTTTGTATTAACATCTGACATGTTCAGGTAGGTTTCTGTTTGTGCCCCAGGAATACATTTGCAGCGCTGTTTCAAGATGATGGTTTAGAAATGTAGACAAGAAATTTACTGAGACAGCACAGATTAAAAACAACAACAAACTGTTATGCAACAAATGGAACAAAAATTTCTGATAGGCACTTGGGTTTTGCGAGCAAGTTAGCTATCTTGTTTCCCCAGAAGACACTGATGGCTCTGCTTCATAGAACAGAGGCTCTGAAATAAACCTAAGGCAGAGTTAACCATTCATTCATTAGGTATGTATCGATATGACCATGTTTCTGGCTTAAAAGGAGCAATTAGCATCGGGTAACACACTGTTCAAACACAATTCAGCATTCTTGGAATTGTGCTGTTTGCAAACAAAGTCAGATTTGGAAAACAACAACCAGTTTGGGTATTTTTTTCTGCAACAGTTCGAATTTGAAACGAACACCAACTCTAATTTAATTCCTTTGTGCCTAAACTTTGCAGAAGGCACTAACGAAACATATAAATCTTTTTCCCAGGGGCCAGCACTACTATTCTCCCTGAGATATGACTGTAGAAATAACAACAATTTGCCATTTGCAAAAAGTTCGCTGCCCTTGCTGTAGGAAAGATCTCCCAGTTCACATCAAGTCCCCTTCCACAATGCCCCGGCACAAAGGACAGGAGAGGACCACTCCAAATAGAACACTCAATTTTCTGGCTTTTGTGGGTTTAAGTCAGAGCCTTAATGTATTTGAAGACAGTTTTTTTGTCTGTGAATATTTATAACAGTGTGAAAAATCCGTGACAGCTGGTAATGCATTTTGAAGTGTGCTAACAACACTGTATCAAACAGCTTCCTATTGATCACATAATGCTTTTTGTGGCTAAGTATTTCATACATGGTGCTTATACATTTTGAATAAGAACTTCAAGTACCTTTTGCTTCAAGCGGTTTTTCACTTCTTTTATTCCCATTTTTGCATGATCTTTTGCCTGCATGAAAAATTAATTTAAGTTAAAATCCCCTTCTATTTCCAGCAGTGACCACGCTTGATTTCAGTGCATCAAGATTCACCTTCTCTCGTCACTAAAAATGGCAAGGAAAAAATTCTAACAGAACACTGAAAACATATTAAAGCAAATAGACAGCTAAAAAGACCCCAAACAAACAAGAAGCATGCCACTCCCCTCACTGCAAAATTTTGGTTTTCCTGTTTTGATGCCAAAGATGTTTTTTATGTTTTTGCATTCCACACCCTTGGTCTTCCCCTCGAAGTATTTCTCTTTGCTAGAAGTTAACAATCAGCAGTAATAGTTAAGCCTGCAAACTTTCTCCTTGCAGCATTCTGGATGCCAGTTCCAATTAGTAGAGATACTCTCATCCTACTCCTCTCTCTGAGGCTGGAGGAAGGCAGGAGAAAATAAAAGTTTGAACAGTTATCTCAGTGCTTTTTGTGGTATTATTTGCTAAATCGAGCTTGCAAGAAATCCTGCCTGTCTCTATGTTGTTTTATCTTGCACAGTGGAAGTGGCAGCCACACGTGACAACACAGTAACATACTAGCTGTTTGTTAACAGAACCAAAAACATTTTCATTTAAAGAATAGCTCAGTAAGTTGGGCTCTAAATAAGCAGGTGTAAATCTCTGGGGAAAATTAATTGACATTTAGAAAAGATGGAAACAATTTGGAAAATGAGAGGATTCCCTTATTTCGATGAAGCTGCAAGCAGAGAAAGCTGAGGTAACAATGGTTTCCAACAGAGTAATGATGAGATGGTAGAGCTGCTAAGTGGAGCATATAGGCACTATTTCCCAGTAATAGTTGTATGTAATAAATAGAATTTATCATCTACGCTTTCAAAAGAAATCACGAGTTCCTTCTACTTTGCATTTCAATTATGTTTGAATTTCAAAATGACTTTCCCATTTAAATTTTAAATTTAGATGAATGCGTATTTTAAATAATTTTTTGAGTCCAATAAAAATGAATTTAAGTCGTGAGTTTCACTTGAAAGGTTAAAACAGAATCGTAATTAGACTCTTATCTCAGTAGTAAGCCAGTACTTGGTACTTACAAACTTATAGACAGTCTTCATGGCAGGGTTAGCCTTGGTCTTTACTGTATTTAAAATGGCTCCACTTCCTTTCTGTAATTACAGTAACAATAGAATACATTTTATCAGAGCTCTTTAAAGCAAACAACAATCTGAAATCCCCCATTCTTTACTAAAAATAACAAAGCATTAACTATGCTTATTAGCAGACCTGAGTTTTGAGGTGGTAAATTTAAAGAAAAAGACCCCAACTGAAAACACATGAAACGTTTCCCTCTGGTTTTCCAGAGGAATCCCAACTGTTTCATACGGCAGTGCTCAAATGACAAACCTCAGTGTCTCCTAACACCTCCTCTTACAGGTCATGTCACAAACAGTGTCCTGTGGCTGTTCCCCTCGCCCCCGGGGGTGTCCTGTACCTCCCAGTAAAATCCTGAACAAGTCTAAGACAGAAGTATCCTACCAAGTACTCAACGTCTGGGGCAGCAAATTCAGTTTCAGGAAAGCCCATACATTCCATCTCCAGAAGTAAGATCTGTTTGTATTTTCCTTTCCATGATCTTACAATACTATTTATCAAAAGCATGCTGCCTTTTTAAGATCAAAGTAGTCGCTAACGGGATAAATTGAGGGAAAATGAAATCTAACTGCAGTCATAAACATTAATTCTAGAAAAGCTGAATTGCATGTGGTGAACATAATAAAAGTCATAAGACAGTAATATGTCAGGCAGAATAATCTGTTAGTCTGGTCGGTGTTTTATACATCTGCCACACAGCACGGACGGCTGCTGCACAGTTCCTTTTTTCACAAATACAGGAGATGGGAAAAATCTGAGGAAAAAATCTGGTCCAGAGACCAGCTGTAATCAGACGCAGTATTAAGATTTACTACATCTGTAACTATATGACAATTAATCTTCAACAAAAATTAAAACTGTTGAATTTAATTGCACGTATTTCTATTTTCACTGTCAACCATTCCCTTTTCTTATAATTTTAAAAATACATCATCCGATGCGTTTATATTTTTTTATGTATATATATTTACCTCCCTAACCATATGATGGGATTTTTTGCATTACTGTGATAAAATACTTTAAATTCAAAATTATCGAGATAATATTGAGTCCAGGATTTTGTGTAAGGAGCATAATTTCATTCATAACCAGGACAACAGGCAAATGGAGTGCTACAAAACTCAGTTCTGTCAGAAGACAGTTCAGTCTTGCCCACTGACTCGTACCCACAAACCAGAACTATTCTACTTTTTAATATATCACATTTTATGCATCAAAAGAAACTTCTAATATCAGCTGTAATAAGATAGTATAATCTAAAAGTATCTAAAATTTTAATTTATACAGCTAGAGCACTAAACAAGAGGGATCCAAAACCATCCCAAACAGTGTTGTTCCTATTTGGCACTTCACACCATTCAGCTTTATAAAGAGCTTTTTGGTGTGGCAATGCTCCCTTTTGTTTCCTTTTCTAGTAAAAGGAAAGAAAAACCACATTATTTAACACATTATTTTCTACGACGACATTATTTCCAGCTGTCTACAAGACATTAAAAGTGGGATTCATAAACTGAGAATTCCTATAGTGATTTTTTTTTTAGCGTGTTTTTTCTTCTGATCTTTACACCATCTAAACAGCACATTGGTTGTCACAACTAACTCAAGTTGGTCACAGCTAGCACTGTGGGAAGCAGGTTAGCCATGCTCCCGAGGAGAGGTGAACAGAACTGCACAGCCGTGCAGTACGAATTAGCTTGTCTGTTGGAAGAATAGTGTTCTTACCCGTACTGTAGAGAGCCACTGGTGATACAGTTTGTCGCTACCTAGAGAGAACCACAAAGCCAAACTGTAACTCTCTCCCAAACAGAAAGCAAGCTAAAAATGTGAAATGTTAGCACGTAGTGGTTGTAGGAGTGTGAGCAGTAGCGAAACAGGACAACGATCCTTTCCTTTTAATGGAAACACAACAAAAAAAAAATCAGCGCGATAGCTACAACTTTTCTTTTACCTTCCCATCCCACTAGGGAAGGGCAGGGGGGAGTGAGTGGCTGTGTGGTGCTTGGTTGCTGGCTGGGGCTAAACCACAACAATTCTTTTTGGACTGCCAAAGTTCTTGACAAAGGAAAGAAAAAATATTTAGGGCACTTCAACCTCCAGGGACCACTGCAGCCTCGGTTATTTAGGCGTGGAACCACAATGACCCGTTACATTATGACGGCCCACAAACAGTAAGTGAAGAACAGTGTAGGAAATTACTTTTAAACACTGTATTTCTTACCTGCATATTCTCCCATATTTATCTCTTCTTCAAAAACATCACTGAAGCCCTCTCCAGAGTTCAGAAGATCCAGACGGCCATCAATGAACTACATCAGCATTAAAAGAGAGCATAGACAAATCAACCATCCCACCCTCTATCTTTTCAGAAAGACTTTATTCTGCATTTGCTAGAATAACCTCAATGTTCTTATTGGGAAGGGACTAAAGAGAGTGAAGATACAACCAAAACTGGCAAAATGTTTACCAATGCAAAAAAGTATGCTGCTTCACTGAAGAAAGAGCATTCACGTGTTTCTCTCTCCATGTATGTTTTCAGCTTCCCTGAAGCAGTCATGTCATGTTTAACAGTAGTATGCTTTCCGTACAACATTTACAGCAGATATCTTGGGTCTAGGTATGCTCAGATCAAAACTGAGCACAGAGACCTTTAGGGGAAAAAACCATACACCTCTCAAAATACAGAAAGCCTTATCACCTGAATCTAAGAAAAGCCAGCAAGCAGGAATTAAGGTGCTGCCAACTACATGAATTTTTCTCATTATGTAGCTGACAGATCAAGGACTACAGGAACAGCTCTTCAAAAAAAACCCAGTTGTGTTGTTAAAGAATCTGCTTCTACATTACAGCAATTAAGCCAGTACCTGCTTAAAGAGCTGGAGCTGAATGGCATTCTGGAGAAACTGCCTCATGACAGCAGAACGATGGGACACAAATGTTTCTTCACAAAAAGTGATGGGTTCACCCTGTAAAGTTCAGAGCATTAAACACGGGAAAAGCTTTGTCTGAATCCATTTGAATGCAGTCTCCACTGTATCTGCTTCCCTTACAAAATAAATAGCTAAATAAAGTAGACCCTACAAAACACTGCGTAAACTGTAGGTCCAGGCAGTTAACCTGCACAGACACATCAGGAATGTGTGCTCTGTCCTCTCCAGAGTTCAGAAGAATTAGTCTTTCATATACTGAATGAGTGAAATCTCCCTTTTTCACAACCTTGTTGGCAAAAGACAGAAGTGGTTTTGCAGCTCTACTTTTATCTTATTTTAATGAGTTATGTTAATGCTGAAGTCTGCTGTGCATCTGCCATAAGGGCACAAATTTCCTCCACACTTAAATCTACAAATACTCAATGTAAGAAGCAAATATATTTATTGAATTATATATTATATATGCGAGACAATTATTGAAAACAAGAAAGTAACAAAGAATGATAAAATTATACCGATACATAAATATGGAAGCTTTTTCATACTCATATTAAAATATATTTGACCTCTTCATCTGTTGAGTGTTCAAAATCAACATTAGATAGCAAAAACCCTTAAAGCACCCCCTTTAAAAGTGCAGTATCATTCAATTTCTGACAGCTTTTTCTATTAGCAATCTCGGTTACCACTGGCTGTGTAAAGTGGGATAACAGGGCCACTAAAATGACTGTCCTCACAAAAACTCCATGCCACAGCGTTGCTTGAACATACTAGTTTTTCCCCACCACTTTATTCTGGAAGCCACCACGTTGCCCGAGGACTCCTAACACCTAATCCACACTAAAAGGATACTCAGTCCTCCAAATGATACTTGGTAAGCTTTGATGACACTCTCATTTCTTAAAATCCATGGGTATTCACCTTTTTCTCCGAGTTCACAATCAATCCCACTTACTCATTGAAACATTCCCTACTGGGCTGGTACTACCCCAGCACTTACCAACCTGGTGGTGCATGGCCTGGCCTTTGGCATAACCGACCTCCCCACTGCAACTGAACGCTGCAAACAGTTCTATCCGCTTCAACGCAATTGATGAGGTAAGTGAGGGAAATATTTGGCTTCAAATAATGAGATTGCAGTAATAAAATTCTTCCTGGCCCCCGGTGAACTGGACAACTGGAATCAGCAAAGTGATAGAGCATGTACCGCTCCTCTCACCCAGTAGTTAACAACTGTCAGAGGTCACAGACTGTTCTTAACCTCAGGAAAAGGATCAGCTGCAAGTGACTGGCTAAGCACAGGGCCGGTCTCTTTAAAGAGGGAAGAAGTCACTCTTTTAGGACAGTTTCTGCCACACTTCCCTTGGGCCAATAAAATTCCATGGTTTGGAAAAAAAAGGAAGTTTCTTATGTGAAAACTACAGTTTCAGGATAATTAATTTTAAAGGTAATAACCTGTCCTTGATTGACTCCAGCAGGTATTTACAGGGAAAACCAAAATCCCTACAATCTTTCCAGCCAAGAAGCATGAGTGTGAAAAAACACTTAAAGGTGGTGTCTCGGAAACCCAGGTACGCACTTGGAAAGGTTGGAACGCATTTAACTAGCAGCTGATCCTGCACTCATGCTAGGAGATGGCAGGAGGGCCAGAACTTCTGCATGACATGGAAGTGTCAAAACGAGACTTCGAGCAAGGGGTAACATAGCAAATGGAAAAAGCCATTGGTTGGTTTTGTGAGATGGGACTGATGATTTGGACTAATGTAAGCTCCCCACACGAGAACTTAATGTACTATATTCAGCTATTGGGATCCCACCTGAGATCTGTTTAAACTCTCTCTCAGACACCAGGAAGGAAAAGTCAGGATACTACAGAGCACTACAATGAGTGAGAGAAAATCTTAGGAGATTGCAAATGCATCTGGTACTACAGGAACTGTAGCGACAGACACTCTGCAAGTGAGGCCCAGGCAACAGTACAGCAAACAACAGGATGTCACGTCTACCTGATCAGTACGAAAAGGCTTTCCCTTCAAATTCAGCTACCAGATGCCTGAAAAATATGTCTGACATAGATACCCTCTGGAGGGTGAAAAGAGCTGGGAGGAATACATGAAGTGCAGATTAGTCCATGATCAGCAAAGAAGTTCACCAGAGGAAGGTTTAGCTTTCATTTAATCCTCACTTACAAAACACTTGAAACCGGCAACCCTTTCTATAGTCTACAAGAGTCCAAAATTTCTCCCTTGGTCAGAGAAGTATGAGAACACTGTGGAAGGAGCTCCTCCCTGGCAAACAGCTTCCTCTACTCCACTGTACATCCAGCACAAAGACACCAGCTTCTCCTCTTACAATCAAGCTATGAACCATCCCTATGAACACACATACTGCAGCTGGGGGAGCCCAGTATTATTACAGTGTTAACACACTTCCTCCCCCTAAGTACTAATGATTGAGTTTGTTCATTAGGCTGATTAGACCTTTTGACTTCTTAAGAGACAATTCAGGCTCAACTGCTGCTAGATGATACAAAAAACTTTAATCATCAAGGTCAAGCGTGAGCTTTTCAGCTTAGAATGCATTAATATCTTCCAACCTCCCCGACCTCCAGAAGGGTGAGCACACTGTTGCTAACCCCATCCGCAGCTTCATTACAAAAAGACAAGATGGACAATAAGACCGTTTTCTTGACAGATTTAGTTAACTGTAAATTATAAAGGTAATCAGCTCTGCTTTTACTGATAGCTGACATTATACACAAGAGGACATGCTGAGAACTGCAGATATTTTGTGAGATGAATGGTCTTGATCACATGTAAAACAATTATCATAACTTGTCCTGGCAAATCCATCAACTCCTAAACTTGCTGTTTCCAACTATTAGAAATTAGGCCTTGATTCATCAACACCTAAATATCCATTATTTCCCACTCCAACAATAAATACGTAACAGAGGCTAAGAAACGCCCTAAATGTGTGCACAATACGACTCTGAGGACTCTGATTTGATTCGTACTATTAGGTAATTCACGTATATTTCAAGATAGGACAAAATTATTTTTAATACAAAAATGTTCACATTACAAAGACAGTTAATCTGCAATTTTAACACAGAGAAGTAACTTTAAAATATAAGACTAAGATTTAAGACTCCCAGATGCACTGAAAAAATAGGTGCCTTTTCTTTATGCTTTTGCAAATCTCCCTTCATATGAATATTTTCTATTCATATGGCATAATGAAGTTCATCAGGGCAGTGCTGCTATCTCATGACCCCTTGAAAGCTGAAAAGTTTCAGTCCACATCTGATCTGTTATCAGCCCCATTTTTAAATTGGAATTGTTACATTCTACAGTAATGTTTAAAACTACTTAAGGCAGCAAGTGAAAAAGGAAAGGAGCCTAAGACTTACTTCAGACTTTTCTAGAGTTCCATGAAACCTGCTGTTACATTTTAAGAAGCCATAATGAAGTTGAAAGATGATGCCTGATTTTTATTAGCTACTCTGTAAAAAATTTCACCATGATCCCCTATCTTGCAAGGAAATCACTTTCCTCAGAAAGAAAAACCTTCTTTCAGAGAAGGTACAGGACCTGGTACAGCTATTGTCTGGGAGAGAAGAATCACATCTGAACTGTCAAACTCACCGTACTCGCAGACAGGCCAGCGAACTTATGGCAGTAACTTTCACAGTGAATATGAAGGACTGAAAATATGTGGGACTGGAGATGGCACAGATTAGAGAAGGACTTGGAGGAAGGGACAGAGGCAAACACAAATGATCCTTCTGGAAAGACACAGAGGTGCTAAGGTAACTCTTGGAAGTCTAACTATTCCCCCTCCCGCAAGAGATGAGACACCAAAGTGTGCATCTGGATAGCGAGGCTTTAAAGCCAGCATGTGACCGCTGGGAAAGACATTAAGATAATAAAGGCAGGGTTCAAATTAGGTCAACAGTGAGAGGCTACTGCACAAGCAAAGATTTCACAAAACTTAGATTCTAAGGTTAAAAAAACAACAAACACCCCCCCCCCCCAAAATAACCCCCAAAAAAGCAACCAAAAAGTCCCACCAAAAAAATCCCCAAACCAACAATCCAAACCTGAAGACTTTGTTTAGACAACCCTAAAAGTTATGCCGTGGAGGATATATGCAATCTCTTCTGCATTACTATGGTCAGCATGTGGTGCAGGGTAATGAATTTTGTGCTGCTGTATGCATGCCTTTAAACCATGTAGGTGCTCTTTCAAAGCCTCTCTAATAAACACACAAGCCATTAGAGCTGCTCTGTAAACCAGCCACGAAATGAAAAACTGTGGGTGGAATTTAAAGGTGCAGAACGAGATGACAATCTGACAGCCGACGAGCTGCAAGCCCAGCGTCAGGATACTCCGCAGCAAACCCCAAATATACAGCAAGAACAATGACATGCAAGAGATTCATATATCACTCTTATTACTACCTAGATGTTGCAAATAAACACATCCTTTACTAAAATTGGTTACATTGCAAATGACAAAGTAAAGCCTGTAGGGATATTCTAGGAATCATCATCCTTAATTCCACCCAGAATTTTAAGGAAACTAAGATAGGAGAACGATCTTCCTGATCTGGATATATATGTCAGTGTCAGCTACAACAGCAACCAAAGGCAAGCCAGTGCTCTGCAGAGCTTTCAAGAATTGTGATTACAATGTCAAGGAAAGATTAGCTCATCACAGCTGAAGAAGGATCATCAGTCAGCCAGCAGGATTCCATAAAGGGAATCTGAAATTGGTGACAGACACCTGATAGGACATTGCCTCGTTCAGCTTGCAATTGCAACGACAAATAACCTCCCCGTAACTTGTACATACGTTCAGCACGAGAAAGCTCTTTGCATCTGCCTCACTCATAATGGAATCAAGAAAGCATAGATCAAATACTCTGCATTAAGCAAATGATCTCACAGCTTTATTAGCATTTCAAGATGCTGCTCAGGAACAAAGAAATCATGTGCTCAGAGATTTGACCACACTTCTTCGAAAGAAAACTAA